CACATATTTGAATCACATGTATATCGGTGATGTTTTCAATGGGGGCTCGCCCAAAAGAAAATCGTATAAATATAAATACAATTGTTAAGTGTCGTCGAAATTTAAACCATAAACCTATCAATATTAGTATGTATTTTTACCATCAAACCATAACTAGATAATGAACATAGCTTATAATCATTTTTATATAATACATTCTTCTTTATCCGTGAATAATATTGAAACAAAATCAAAATTTATTAGCCAGCTCTCAAATTCTTAATTTATTTCCTCTTGTTGAAACTCGATAGCTTTATTTTATCCTGTAATGAATGTTTGATTGGATTATTAAAATTGATATGATATGAATTGGAGTAAGGATTTCTGAATTTATCATGATAATAATTATACGAGTGAGAGTCAAATCAAAATTATCAATAATTCTTATATAAAGCAAAGTTAAGGGTTTATTATTCATTAAGAAGCTTTTTTTGTAATTTGCATCACCTTTAGTGGCATTTTGCTAAGTTCACATTTTTGCATAATTTTTCATTTCTTTTATTTATTTTTTCATTTTGTTGACTTATATTTGCCTAATGTTTTGTTCATTTCTTTTAATCACATATAGATACATTTGAATAATCCACTTTTTATTTATTTTATTTTATCTTTTTACTTTTCTATCCTGAAATTGACGTCTTTGTTCGTATGCACCACCTCTTAGACCATTTACAGCCTGGATCCAAGCCTAAGATGACAACTCTGATCTCGGCGTGGCGATTAGAGATGATTGTCAGGTTCGTCCTCCTAGTGACGTGAAGGTGAATTTGTCGAAATAATCATCCATAGCTTTCAATATTCTCTCTCTCGACAATGACGAAGGCTAAAGGAAAGACACCTCTGTTTGCATCCGCTCCGCTAGCAATCAGGAGGTGCCCTTGTACTTGCCGGTAAGGAATGTGCCATCCACTTGGATCGCAGGGACGCAGAAGGGAAAAACATCAATATATGGCTTGAATGACCAGAAAAGTCGTTTGAAATGGCTTTGTTATCGGGCTCCGACGGCTGGATTTCTTCATCTTGGTAGCGGGGGGGGGGGGGGGGGGGGGGGGGGGGGGGGGGGGGAGAATATAGTTCCAGGGTTAGACGCCTCCAATGCCAAAATCAATATGGGAAGGTATGCATATGATTCTTCACAGTCTCCAAATACGACGGCCATTGCTTTCTGCTTTCCATGCCATGACTTCTTATAGTTAATAATATATCCAAAACGACTAGAAATGTCGGCGATGATGGTTTTCTTCTTTAGGTCGGGCTGTTGCTCAATTAGATGCTTCACAACCGCGGCTACCACCCTGGATTTAGATGTCGATGGCCTTGGGATGTTATGGATAACACGCATGTGTGAGTGTTCACCGCACGGGATATGACCCAATGCCCGAATCTCTTGCTCTGGATTCTTGATGACCCGGACCCTAGCCTTGCATCCCTCGTGTTGGTTCTGGCATCTAACTACGAGCCTCCTCGTGTCAGAATGACTTGTGCGCCATTCAAAACTCCGAGTCATTGCTTCAGTGTCAACAGAGTGTCCCACCTCCTTCTACGTACCAAATAGTTGGCCCTTCGTAAACCAGTGAGTGGACCCCATATTGGCACCTCTGGCAGCTCCATGTCGGCATCAACATACCAATTTTTATTTGGAATGTGATTGTAGTACGGGATAGGTACACTGTCACGAGATACCTCTTCATCATTTGAGTCTGAATTTCGGCATAAATCATCAGCACCTTCAAGAGGGCCGAAGTTGTCTACACTGATATTGCCTTCCTCTTTTTCATCCTCGGAGTCACTAACAAGACCTGGCAGGGCATCTTCCATCTGATCCAGATCATGAAAGACACCTTCATCAGCTCCGTAATGGTAGTTGTGATAACTACCGCTGTTGCCATGGAAGTCATACTCGGGTTGGTACTGGTAGCTTTCTTATTGGTTGTCATGGTACCGTTGGACTTCTTCTTCATATGATGGGAATGATTGATGATGACCTCCACCTCCTTCTTGGTACTCTTAGTAGGAATGCGGATCATGGTAACCTTGGTAGGGATGATCTTCATATAAACCACCTGCATCGTGGATACCAGATGTTTGGCCATCTCTAGAATGACATCCACTGCCTTCGACCGCCTAGGTGTAAACAAACATCTTTGCTCTAGAAATTTTATTGGCATTCAAAAATTTGATCATGGCATCTACTTCCTCTTGGGTGGTTATGATACTTTCCTCATGCCACAACGACCCACCTTTTATGTTTGATATCGATACACCATACGATCAACTCTCCTTGTGTCATCTATGCAAGTAACCATAGAACACATTTGACGGAGCTCTTCAAGTTTCGGTCTCGTAGCGACCTTCACATTTTGGAAATCACCATCGACGTAATGTATCCCCTTTCCAGTATCTTCCGTGTAACCATTCCACCGTAACTAGTGGCGGATACATGCACATGTCGGGACACCCCTAAAACCTGTAAACACGATTATTCAACCTTCAATAGTAGTTTGCGTATAAGCAAAAAAAATGATTATGTGGTAGTGGGACATCCTTAAAAATTTTGAAAATGATTATCCAATATCCCGTATTAGTTTGCGTATTGGTACAAATAATATTTAAGTAGTACTCTATGTGATTTAAACTTGGGACACTGCTATTACAGTAAACTTATTTTAAATTACACTACAACTCATTTGTTATTATGTTTTTTATCCAAATAAAATATTATTCTTATCCCGAATTATTTTCAAAACTTAACGATTGAACTCTCAATTACCGGATACTCTTGTCTAATAGGATATGTTGAGAGATATTTGTGGAGTAGTATAGACACCAGATATATTTACCTTTTTAGGAAACACGTATGAAATTTTAATGTAACTTTTAATAGTCAGATATTTTCATATTTAATAATTATTTTAAATTAATTTTAAATTTTAATTTAATTTTTGGGAGAGGACACCCCTATGTAGAATTCTTGGATTCGCCAATGACTGTAACCCAAACATTAACTTTTGGAATGACATATGCAATAAAACCGTAATTAAATTAATACCATAACATTTGTGAATAAGCATTTCAAAATCACAATATGATAGTAATACAAAACAAACTTACGAAGTAACGTTAATCGCAAAAACTCAAAAAAGTACAAAAGCAAAACAGAATTGATCATAGGAAGAAGAATAAGGAGATGTAGTGAATTTCTGATGTTTCCAAGGCTGCCTTTTATAGGCAAAATGTCAATTGAAAATCGTTGGGGGTGGCGGTTTTCAATTGACATGCATACCCTATGCCTGCAACACCTACATGCCAACATGTCGGATGTCCGGGAGGGGATGACACACAAACAGTTGGGCGGGGAGGCGGTTTGTGTGTCGGGAATGAAAACCGTCGGGGATGGATGCGGTTCCTAAGCCAACCTAAAACCGCTTGTTGAACCGGCGATCTAGGTCAGCCATGAAACCACATTTTGGACATGCGGTTTGTGACAGGAATGAAACCGCCTCCTCACCCGCCGGTTCATATGAAAACCGCTTCCCTATGAGGCGGTTTCTATGAAATGGTGGTAGTTGTGGTATTTCTGGAAAAATCTCCTAGTTATGGTGGTCAATTACATGACCATTGCATTGGTTGTCATAGATATGAGGGCAATTAGGTCCATTGTTGAGCTATGTTTGTTTGATGGATTTGGTGATGGATTTGAATCCATGATGGACTTTGTCCAAAATCCATTGTTATTTTCAAGTATTTAGAGGTTACAAATCCGTGAGACCCATGGACTTTGAGGGTTCAAATATGTGGGCCAGGGACTTGAAAATCCCACCTCTTTAGGTGAGAATTGATCATATGGACTTTGAAGTCCACCATTTTTTACCAACATACTACTCATATTTTCTTTCTTTCTTATATCATGAGAGCAGTAAAGGCAAGTTACAGTTTAAGTTACACTTTATACAGACAAATTTAGTTAAACAAAATTCATCATGAAATTCATCAAACAAACAATGATGTTTAGCAAATCCATAATGAATTCGAAACTCTCATATATCCATGATTTTTCAAAACTTTCATTTTTCAAATCCACAAATTAAACGACTCATAATCCAAAGTGGAATTCGTTCCACACCCCTCCTCCCAAATCATCTTCTTTGTAGTAATTTTAGAGGATAGTAGGTGGATTATATACGTTAACCGCCAAACCTAAACAAAGCATCCAATTAAAATCGATTAATAAGTGTTGGATGATGATATGATGGATATCATCTTCTTTATTTTTATTTTTTTTTTTATACCCAGGAACCTCAACCCCACATACCACTTTGTGACAGCGTGATCTACTAAATCTGGAGAGCACCTGTACAAGACACAACATCGGGAGACTTCGTCCCCGACACTCATGCATGCCTCCGGGAACACACAAACAGAGCCGCTGGGGATCGAACTCAGGACCTCTCATATCCTGAGCCAACCAGACCAATGGTTTCATCGCTAGGCTATATTATCTTTAGCGAAATATGTTGACCCACAAAATTTGTGATAGATATGATGGACAAATATGAATATTTTATATGTTGACCCACCAAATTTGGATGGGAAGCTTGCAAGCTAATTAAGTGGCAATTAATCCACAAAATCACCCAATAGATTCACTCGCTTGTTTGTTTGAATGGAGAAACGGAAACTGTCATTGACAAAAAATGGAAAGTGGGAGGCCAGGGTGGGAAAACTCACTGACCTCAAAGGAAAATTAAAACAAAGAAGACGACACACACATTCAGCATGCATGCATGATCATCAGTCAGTTACCTACACGTTCGTACGTTGAAACTGAAGCGTGAAACAAGGGAAGATGGAGAAAATGGTCTCTCATTTTCCGCAGTTTCGGGAAAGCAGCGGCGCACAATTTAAGACAGAAAAAAAAATGACATGAGATGAGCAGCAAATTAAATTAAACTAACGATAACCAGCCATTCTCGATAATGCCTGCCTCCCTAATTCCTCTTCACCACTCACCTTCTTTCCCACCTCCATTCCTCACTCCCCACATAATAATAATATAATAATAATACTAATAATCATCCCATCCATCATTCATCCTTTCCAAGCCATACCTCTTTCCCTCTCATCTATTGCAAACAACGTAACTAGATCCATATTGTTAACTCGGTTTGTAACCTAGAGCAGTTAGAAATCAAGTTGAAGCACCCCAAAAAGCTAAGCAAAAATGGTTGACACCATGTTCGTTCGTACCATCGTCGGCATTATTGGTAACTAATCTCTCTCTCTCTCTTTCCCTATTACTTTCCAATGTTCTTTCAAATTATACATGGTGAAAAGATAGATAGATAGTAATGGCAGAATTTTCTTTCAAAATTATACCGGTACTAGTTTTGATAATTGTAGCAGTAATCAATACTGATTCGTTTTATTTTTTACGTTGTGCCATGCAGGAAATGTCATATCCTTCTTCCTGTTTCTATCCCCACTGTAAGTCACTTGGATCTTCCTGTCTGTAAAGTAAAAAGTAATTCAACGATGGGTTCATTCTTAATAACTCGACCTAGCTAGCTTTCTTGTTGTAATTAAGGTTTCAAACAAAACAACAACGTAACGTAACGTAACGTAACTTTGAGTTCCAATGACATATAAATATACTTGATTGGATTAGAGATATGCATGTTGGATTACAAAATGATGACGTACGATAAATGATAAGCCTGTCTGTCTGCCTGCAGGCCGACGTTCGTGAAGATATTCAAGCAGAAAACGGTGCAGGACTTCAAGGCGGATCCGTACGTGACGACGCTGCTGAATTGCGCGATGTGGAGTTTGTACGGGATGCCGTTCGTGAAACCGGACAGCCTCCTCGTCATCACCATCAACGGCTTCGGTTTCTTCCTCGAGTTGTTCTACGTAGCCTTCTTCTTCTTCTTTTCGCCCTGGGACAAGCGAGTACGTATTATATATTCGATTCCATGTTTCATGTATGTTCTAACTTCTAAGTACACTTGTAATCAACCAATGTTTGTTTAATTTGTTCCATTCTGATTAACGCAGAGGAAGCTGATGATAACGTTGCTGATAGAGACGGTCTTCTTCATCGGGGTGTTACTAATCACTCTGCTAGTTTTCCATGCTCCCCCAAAGAGGGCTATGTTCGTCGGCCTTCTCTGTATTATCTTCAACATTCTTATGTACGCCGCTCCCTTGACCGTCATGGTACGTACGTCCATCTAAAACCTGCCCTACACTACAACAACCTAATCCATATTTACTGCGGTCGGTCTAGCTATCTTAAAGAAAAATGTCGCCCCTATTAACTATACATAGTAATATCGATGAGCAGAAAATGGTGATCAAGACAAAGAGCGTCAAGTACATGCCCTTCTTCCTTTCCCTAGCTGGTTTTTGCAATGGAATCGTTTGGACCATCTATGCTCTCCTCAAGTTCGACATTAACATTCTGGTAAGCAGCGCGCTGACGGACTATATGTTAAAACTAATATTCGAGAGCACACACAAGATGACTAATGAAAAGTGTGTTTGACTTCGCCCATCTAGATACCAAATGGTCTGGGATCGCTGTCCGCACTGGTGCAACTAATACTGTACGCAATTTACTACAGAACGACGAATTGGGACGAGGACGACGACGACCAACCACCTCGTGGCAGCCATCAAGATGAATTCTCGGAGATTCAACTCTCCAGTAAGGTTTAGGACAAACTATTCGCCCCATCAAAACCAAATTCATAATAATGTGGGATCTTCTTCTTCCCCATGGGAGCATTTTTTGTTTTCCAGCAATACCTTCTTTGTTTATCGTTTCTACATTGTTTCTCTTTTGGGTTTCTCCCTCTCTTTTGTTTGCTTTTGTTAAATTTGGAAAAAAGATTAAAGAAAAAAAACAGGGGAAAGACACAGACAGACACTTACAACCAAGCTATGGAGAGTGAAAGAAGAAATTGCAGCAGAAAAAGAAGAAAAAAATGGCATGATCATCGGGTCGGGTCAGAAGATTATATGTTATTAATTTTGGTTTTTTGTTTGTTTTGTAGTTAAGATGAGTTTTAGGGGGGCTTAGCTAACAAATAAATAAAAAAAATGACACCATTAACTTCCGTTGTACTGTCACAATGCAAAAAGTAAAGAGACAGACAAGGCAGCGTTGTTAGTACTACTGTCTGGCTTGTTTTGTAATTTACTCTTAACATGTTCAAGTAAATGGAAACCCAAAAAAGTGCTCATTTTTCCCCCCTTCTAAATGTCTTCCGTCAAACTACTTCAGGCCGCATTAAAGTATTAACCCAAATTACACAAATCGACTTCATGACACATACAACAGAAAATCGTTCTTTAATTGCTACGTCCAGAGGCAAACATCTACACAATATTTAATCAACTACACAACTCAATCTCTGTTCAGTTTCAGGTACACAAACCGCTAAACTTTTCCCATAATACTAATAGTTTAGCAGTGACCTAGGACTAGGAGGGCTTGCTTCACAAATGAGTTCATCATCATATTTATATGGCAGGAAGAAGACATTAGCCATACCCTCCTAGAAAAATTACTACCCCAAACTAAGAAAAGAAACGAAGCAGGAAGAGACGAGAGAAATGAAAAGCTTTACATGGTTTAATAGACTCAAGATCTACTGCATCTCCTCCACAACCCCCTAGTATGTGTCCCCATTAATTCGACCATTAACTTTACCATTTAGTACATACAGTGACATCTTCATAAGCAGGAGGGAGGGGATTCAAGGACCTCGGTTTCTGCGGAAGCAAAGACAGCCGCCTTGTTGGTCCGGAGGGATCATCCCTCCCCCTTTGGTTGTGTCAACAGCCTCCAACAAGGACACAACCTCGTCCATCTCGGGCCGCTTGTCAGGGCTGGCATCCCAACACCGCTTCATTATGTTTGCCAGCGCGCTGGGGCAACATCTTGGTATCTCTGGTCTGAGATTCTGCAGTGCCAAACAAACATCAAAGTGTCAGCAGGTTGCATCTGCAGACTATGCAGCAGAGGATAGAGAAATACGAGCGTGAGTATACCTGGCGGACAACAGCAGAGGTCACTTCCGAGAAGCTAAGATCAGGGTATGGCATGTCGCAACAATAGATTTCCCATAAACAGATACCAAAACTATACACGTCGCATTTCCTATTGTACGGATTTCCATTCAAAACCTGTCAAACCCCAACGTACAAAAATAAGTTGCAAGGTACTCTTACAAGTTGTTGTTGAAAACACAGCAAGTGAATTTAAGGGGTCATTGCCATGTACTTTCGTATATTGTCGAAAATACACGATATCATGTAACGATATGAAAGGTAAAAAGCATGGCTTTGATACTAGATTATGACAAGTAAAATGATGGATTGCCAGAAACCATGTATTCTCATAATCCCGGACACTCCCTAGTTACCAGATAGCCCCTTAAGCATATTTGTAAATCATAGGATAAGTACCTCAGGAGCCATATATCCGAGTGTCCCTGTCTCCCCAGTCATATCATTAGGGTTTGAAGCCTCAACACGAGCTACCCCGAAATCTGCAATCTTCACAGTGCGTGTCTTATCCAGCAACATGTTTTCAGTCTTCACGTCTCTGTGAACTATCTTCTGAGAATGAAGATAACTTAACCTACAAAAGTGTAATTAATTCGAAGGTCAGCATATTTAATGACTCGATTAGGGTACCAGCTGAAAAGAAATCAATGAAAAGCACAGAACGATGGGTGGTGCCTCAGTTACCCTCTAGCCATATCAAGCGCCAGCTGGACAACTACTTTAAAAGCTAACTTCCGTCTGCGGTTCTTTATAAGGTAAGATTTCAGTGCACCTCCAGGAAGATATTCCACAACAACACAGCATATGTTTTTAGGCATGTTAATTTGACCGTTCTCAGTTTGTATATGTAAGTCGGAGGAGCCCATTGTTGCACCTATGAACTGGTTTATGGAGAGAAAAGAAAACAAGAATTAATACACGTCCAGCAGTACCTTCAGATCTCACTGTTATATGCAGCACAAGAGTTTTCACTGGTGAAAACCAAGAACGATAATTCTGTAAACAGGAAGCCCACGTGCCCTTTACAATCTTAGTCATGAACAGTTACCATGCCAGATGACTAACAAATTTAAGCAATAGTATAAATTTGGCACTTCTCTGCACATGCAAGATGAGACAAGAGGACAATACCCTGATGACCAGACAAGAAAAATAAGATGGATGCGGGAAAGACTGACATGACAAAGATGAGCTGTGCCAAAATAAGTAGAAAACAGAAGTTGCCGTGCTTCCTTTCTAGATCAGAAAATAAATACACTTGGATCAGTAGAACAGATATAACAGGTAGCGGATGTAACTTCTCATGGTATTGAGAGAGTAAAAACTTTCAGTATGCAACTTTATGCATGTCAAATTCAGGCTTATGACGAGTAAAAGGAAGAATTGGAATTGGTCTCCCAGTTCAAAGCATGTGCACTTCCTTCCAAGGAAAATAGAGGACAAAGATATATGAAGTCCAGCAATGAACAAAACACATATTCTACTATCTTATTCCTAAAAGAGAAACCCCTATAGCCGTAAAAATGGGAAACCCCCAAAATACTAGGCCCATATTTATTGAAGTTAACCTGTGAAAGTGAAGCCTTTGGGATACACAAGAAAAAAGTCAAGAAATCTAATAAACCTCTAAAAAGGAAGTGAATTGAACAGATTGAATGAGAAGCAACGCTACAGTCTAGCTACAAAAGTTAGTAGCCTTCAAAGGTGCCTAATGTGCCATAAATGACAGAAGTGCGGATGGAAGATCGGATCAAGCAAATTAAGTCAATAAACCTCCGTGACCTAGTGAAGTGTTCCATGGAATTGGGAAGATCTTAAAGGCCATAAGAACTGAAGGAAATCTCTATAATGCAAGTTATGCAACAACACACAACAAAGTACACACTTGGGATTTCAACCCATCATATAAACCTCATTCAATTGGTTGCGCAAAACTGCGGCCGGTTGACTTCAGAATTAAATATCTTTACAAGCCAGTGGCAAAAACTATCCGATGGCTATCCATTTCGTTTTTTCATAAGCGGGTAGATAGACAAACGGAGATCAAACATAAGTACCTTAGTGACATTAGGATGATTAAGCTTATGCCAAACAGCAACTTCTTGTGTGAAATCAGCTCTTAGAGAGGCAATCTCAGCTTCCGTCCTATGTCCCTCTTCACCCCAGTCAAGCAGCTTAACTAAGGGATTTAAAAGAATGAAAATCACACTCAGTACAATAAGGAATCAGAAGGTATACGATAATAAGCTTACATTGAGAAGTTTACTCTCAGAACAAATGACCTAAAAAATTAACCTCTTGAAAGAATAGAAAGTGGACAACAAGCTATCAAAACCATCACAAATTGACATTGGTAGCGAAATATACAGCAAAGTCCATCCCTTTTCCCCCTTTTTTCTGAGTGTCTGTGTGTGTGAATGTCTTTAGTTCTTTCTTTCATTGGTCACATTGTGGAGCAACAGCCTGGGATCACATGAAAGTTGGACAAATGAAAACGTCGAGTCTCCTAAGTTTTTTGGTTTAATGAACAACTTCACCACTCACCCGTGTTGATTCACGGGCTGCATCAGAGCTACTACTTCAACAACCAAAACCCACCATTGTTACACACCCATTACGAATTTCCTAATCAAAGTCAACCTTTTGCTCAAACTAGTAAAAGAAGCGTAAAATTGGGAATCAGGTTTCAGGATCATCGCCCTGTCAAGCTGAACTAACAAATGACAAAAGAAAAAAGTTGCTACTGACCAATCGCCCAAGTTACATAGAGAAAATCATGTTCCGGAAAGACTAACTAATAACACCTTAAATGAAGACAATCAGCAACTCAGATGAAAAAGAGCAAAAAAAGGGTACCGGCGACATCGAGGCCATCGTAGACACCACGGTGAACGGTGCCGAAGGTGCCACGAGCAATGACACCCTTGATAATAAGGTTAGAAGGGTCAATCTCCCATTCCCGCCTGTCCTTAGTCAAGGCGGCGGTAGCGGCGGCCATGGATGTAGGTTTAGAAGCGTGGAGGGAAGTAGTAGTAGCTGGAACAGGAGCAGCAGCAGAAGGAGGAGGAAGGGCATTAGGATCTTCGGATCGCTTGTTCTTGTCCATAGTCCAAACCCTGTTGAGATGGCGCTCAAGTTGCTCGTCAAGACTCTTGAGATCAATCTGATCCGCCCGCACAAACCCATCGTTGCCCTCCTTCATCTTCTCCTAAATTTTTAATGACTTTCTTCTGGGTATCAAAGGAGAGGAAGAAATGGGATCAGGGAAGAGAAGGAAAAGAGAAATGGGAATGAAATTAGGGATGGGCTTAGGAGGAGAGGAAATGGTGACGAAGAAGGGAGAAAGTAATGTGAAGAAGAACAGTACAGCTGCAGAGAGCCATGTGGGCACATGGAAATGTTGCCTCCCTTCCTCCCCCTTCGCCAACGTGGGCTGTGGCGCTGTTGTGGCTTGTGGCTGTGGCTGCTGCCGCTTCTGCCTGCTTCCCAGCGAGACGGTCTTTATGTTTTTTTCTCTTTCTTTTCTTCTTCTGACTTATGATGCTGACCCACTGACTTTCTTCTACTACTATATATTTTCGTCCTTTCTCCGTCCTTCCCATTCTACGGATTAATCATAATAAATTTATATAATTATTGGGTTACCACTTTAATTTAGGTAATTTAGGTATACTGCGATTGGTTAACCCTCTGTTCCTGATTCGAGCCTAATTGCACACATTTTATCCCCGTTTCCTTGGGCGTTTGTAGCATTTGAACTTCTAAAAGGGTGGTTTTACGCTAGATTTTGTGCTTTTTAGTGTGTTTCGGGATCCAACAGGTGAAACCAATCCCAGAATCGAAAGTTAGACGAAAAGAGGCAAAAACCGGGTAAAGAGGGTGATTCGGGCAAGGTTCGCGGTTTCCCATTGTAGTTCTTGGTTTACTATGGCCGTGAACTGAAGCCCAAAACCGTGAATCGCGAAGCCTCCAGGGCGAAATATGAAGTTACTGACGCAAGGGGAGTTCACGGTCAACAAGACCATGAACTTCGAGTGCAAACCGTGAACTCATGCGAGTGAAGCGGTGCGTTTCGACACAGCGCTTTGAGTTAACGGACGCGTTGAAGAGTTCACGGTCGTGAACTGAGGCCGTGAACTGAGTCCGAAATGTGAGCTGAAAGTAAGAGAGAGGGAGAGCCCAAGAGTGAGAAAGTGTCTTCTTCTTCAGATTTTAGAAAGAGAAAGGACGAACCAAGGAAGAAGGAAGGCTAGGGTTTGCTCCAAGTGGTGAATTGAGAAGAATCTCCCCAAGAGAAGATCAACACAAGCTTAGAGAAGATTGGAGGCATCACAATGATGGTTTCTACTTCTTTATCTTGTGTTTCCCCTTTCTAGCATGGAGTAGTACTCTTTTTCACTTGGGTGTTGTGAAACCCCAGCTATTTGCCATGTAGTTATAGTGTGATTTGAATAATTGTTTATGGGTGTTGTTTAATTTAATGATTGAGGTATTTTTCATGATGATTGGGCGAAGATCAAAACAAGCTTAGAGAAGATTGGAGGCATCACCATGATGGTTTCTACTTCTTTCTCTTGTGTTTCCCCTTTCTAGCATGGAGTAGTACTCTTTTTCACTTGGGTGTTGTGAAATACTAACTATTTGCCATGTAGTTATAGAGTGACTTGAATGATTGTTTATGGGTGTTGTTTAATTTAATGATTGAGGTATTTTTCATGATGATTGGACATGTGTGTGCTTAGCAATCTAATTGGTCATTCTAACCTAGGTTAGAGGGGAAACCCCCATTTCCAAAACAGGCTCAATTGAGTTGGGATTCCTTGTGCTTGACAAGCCACCTACCTAGGTTAATGTAGGGCAAACCTCTTGATAACGATTTGTTTTCACATGTTTAAACCCTTATTTCTTATCCATTTGCGGCTCGTAGTCGCATATCTTTGCCCTATTTTACGGTGCGTTGTGCTATTTTGTCACATTTCAGGTCGCAGACGTCGAAGGAAGGGCTAGGCACGAGTTACAGGGTGTTTGGAGGTCATTTGGTGAAGCTGGGGCAAGAACACGGGCAGACTACTCCAGAACACGGTCGTGTTCACTAAGGGGCACGCCAGTGCTTTTTAGTGCGCGAGCTGAATCGCTGCAAGGAGAAAACACGGGCACCATTGACCCAAAACACGGTCGTGTCCCCCAGCCCGTGCTTTTTATGCTGTGAGCCTCATTGTGACTGCTGTTGAGGAATCCAAAACACGGCCGCAGCTGCTCTGAAACACGGTCGTGTCACTCCTTGGGCACGCCCGTGTTTTACTTGGCGCGAGTGTGTATTTCACAGACGAGGCAAAAACACGGGCGAGAAAAGTGAAACACGACTGTGTCCTCGACCGTGTTTTGCCCAGTCTCGGGTTAAAAGGGTTATTTCAAGTCAAAGAAGGGGGATCCAATTTTGAGAGAAAGAAGGCAGAAAACCTAGAGAAAGAGCGACGAACATAACTTCCAAGCGCCCTAAATCGATCTCCAACACCATTGGAGCTCGGTGGAAGCTTGGAGAAGTGCTGATTGATTCCCAGAAGCAGATTTTCATCCTTCACAGAATGATTTTCGCATCTGAAGCAGATTTCTCTTCTCTCTATGGAGTAAACTCTCTCACTCAACTGGGTATGAAGAACCCTAGATTTGTATGTTAGGTTTGGTTGTATGAACCCATGTACATGTTCTTTGATATCGATTATATTCAATTGAGACATGATTTTTTGAATTGCATTAATCCTGATCAAATTCCTGTAGTTCCTGCTTTGACCTAGAAAGAGAATATCTGCCTAGGTTGATAGAGCATCCTTAATTGAAGGTAGTGAATTGATGACTTTAGTCAATGAGTCGGTTCACTATTCCGCACTGGATTTACCCTAGTAGAGGAGGGTTGGTACATTAAGGCCTCAATCTGTTTACTCTAGTGGAGGTTAGTCCCCCTCTGGGGATTCAGATTGAGAGGGTCTGGAGACCTTTAGTCGAGACTCTAGATTGTCTAAGAACCTTCCATAGTATAATTATCATTGAAACTGGACTGGGTGAATTACAACTTGGCTTAACTGCAGTCTAGGGGGAACCATATCTGGGTGACCTCTCTCAAACTTGTAACATGATAGACCGTTATTTACACATGTTTTTACCCCTGTTCTTACACCGTTTGAGGTGTTGATTCTCGTGTTTTAGGCCGATTTCACGCTAGGTTGTGCTTGTTTGTGATATTTCAGGTCCTAGTACGTGAATGGAGGCTTGTGAGCGAGTTTGGGGTCGATTGGACGAAGATCGGACGCATGGCGAGGTTCTAAGGAAGCCACACGGCAGTCCTGGGTATCACACGGCCGTGCAAGTTGCATTTGTGGCCGTGTGACTTTCGCCGAGAGCAAACACGGGCATCCCAGGAAATCCACACGTCCGTGCGACCCTGGCCGTGTGGGATGACTGAAGGCCAACTTAATTGATACGGCGCGTTTTGACTCACACGGGCAAATGGGTGAGCCACACGGCCGTGTGGCCTGCCCGTGTGAGTCGGGAAATTCTGGTTTTTCAGCCAATTTCGAGCCAAAAGTGGGAGAATCGGATTTTAAAAGCAAAAACAGAGCCCTAGAGAGAGAAAGTACGAAGAACACACCCTAGAAGCTATCTTGGAGCTGGGTTTCATCGAATCGATCTTGGAGATCGTCATAGGAGTGGAAATCATCATCCCGGAGCAAATTTTCCTCATCGTTATGAGTATGACTACTCCGATTACTGTTTTCTCTTCTCTCTCTATGGAGTAGAACCTTTCTCTCACTTGGGTATGAAGAACCCTAGTTCCTTGTGTTAGGGATTTGATTGTAATGACTTGGGATGATTATACTGTTTGATTTTAATCGAATGATGCATTTTTATTGAATTGATTGAAGTCTGGTCAACTTTTCTCGATTTCTGCTGCAACCTGAGATGGATAGAATCTGATTAGGTTGTTAGAGCCTCTTCATTAGATAGTAGGAGATTGGCTATACGAGAGTTAGCCAGTTTACTGCTTTGTACTGGAATTCAATTCCAGTAGTGGAGTTCTGTGCTTATTGCTTCAGCTTTCTATCCCGGTGAAGGCTAGTCGTCTGCCGGGTAGTTAGACTGAGAGGGCTTGGTCAGCTTAAGAGATTCCAAGCTACTGTCGAATCTTCCTCAGTCAAATCAACAGTGAATCAACCCAGGGGAATTACAATTGAACCTGACTAAAGGGCTAGGGGGACTCATTCCCGAGTGACTCTTACCTGCTTTTGAAAACCGAACCAATTCCTGCTTTTTTACTGCTTTTGCTTTAAACAACAATCAATCGAATTAGTTGGCTAGATAATAGACAATCACGGAGTAAGCAGTAGATCTAGACCCCGGGTTAATAATAGAACTTGCCTGTTACTGCATTCCCGGACTGCGATTACACTTGGTCGCAGTTTGGTGTTGTGTTTTGGCGTGTCAAGTTTTTGGCGCCGTTGCCGGGGACCTCTAGGTTATTGGGGAAACGTGAGAATTTGTTACTCTAGCTTTTTCTTTATTGCATTTTTCTCTTCCACCTGTGTGCCTTCACGGGTTGCTTCTGCTGATTGTGTGCAGGTAGTGCATGACCCGTAGCCAGTCGGGAGATCTACTACCATTAGACCAGGAGCTTGAACGAACCTGCAGGAACTTCAAGCTGGCTCTAAAGGCGCGACTGGCTGCGGAGGAGGCGCTATCACAGCTGCAGATCGAAGAAGAAGAAGAGATGGCTGATCCACAGAACCATGATGTGATCAATCCAGATGAGCAGACCATGGGATCCTACTGGACCGCTAGAGCTGCGGACATGATGTCACCCATTCAACACCCTCATGTCCAAGCCAACAATTTTGAGGTGAGCACCTCAGTAATCACCATGCTGCGCGGTTCAGTGGTGTTCCGTGGTAAGGAGGGGGAGTGCCCCCGATCACATCTCAGGCGGTTCCACGAGCTCATCGATGGAATCAAGATCAATGGGGTACCAGCAGATGCCATCCAGCTGAGGTACTTCCCCTTTACTCTGGAGGGGCAAGCCAAGGAGTGGCTAGACACTCGACCTCCGGGCTCCATCACCACGTTCGCCAACCTGGCGGACAAGTTCCTCACCCGCTACCATCCTCCATCCAAGACAGCTGACCTGCAGAAGCAAATTACACATTTTGCTCAGGATGAGGATGAGACCATTAGGGATGCTTGGGAGAGACACAACAGTCTCTTCCTGAGGTGTCCAAATCATGGCTTCAATGATGCCTTCAAGGTGGGCACTTTCTATCATGCCCTCTTCCCGGAGGACAAGCAGCTGATTGACTCAGTTTGTGGCGGGAACATGCTGACCAAAACACCGCCACAGCTGAATCAACTCTTTGAGGAGATGGCGGAGAACGGGTACGTTTGGGGAACTGCCAGGAGATCGAGACGAGCACCAGGACGGGGTGTGCATGCTGTGGGCACCCAGTCATCTGATTTGGTGCAGGTGGTATCGAAGCTA